AGTCAGACATCTGAGGTTGTGTTATGAATAAGCCCGTAACCACTTCCCCTTGTGTTTCTTTAAGGGAAGGATCTGGAGGAGTTAAGGAACATTAATTTCTTCCCTGAGTCCTGGTTGATCCGGGTTACAGCCAATCATTATCACGCAGTGAGTCGGCTTAGCAAACTGTCTTGCCTCTTCAGTTTTGCTTTTTCTGGACATACGGTACTCATTTGAAATCTCTGGGCCTCTTGAGGTCAGGGCATAGCTGGAGCTTCCTCTAGGGGAAGGGGAGAGGATGAGGTTCCACATGGCCTCCCATCTGGAAATTTCGCCAGGTTTGAAGAGCTATGGTCATACCTTCCTCCAAACCCATGCCCTAGTAGACACAAATATGAATGTGCTTATTATGGAAGCTGTTCAAACTACAGAGAAAAAAAACACCCTCAGACCATCCCCCAAAGACAATAGCCCCCGTCAACATTCCATTGTCTCTAACGCCTTTCAGTGGGGAGCCCATTCTTCGTACTAGTTTTTTTTTTTTTTTCCTGTAGTTTGAATTACTTGATTGTAGGAGATTCTCCACAGTAGAAATGCTGGCCCTCTGGCATATGTACAGCTTTGTCCCTGGTACATATTAATAGATGTTGGGACCAAGCGACCCCGTCCCCAGGAAGAAATACTTGCCCCGCTGTGCACACACTTGGCAGCATGGAGCATTTAAATCTCAAGCTGCTTTTGTTAACAGAGTCGGGAACAATGACATCTCATCCCTAAATATCCATTTCTTTTCTGACGGGCAAACGTGAGTGTTTTCCACGTGTCTGCTTTGTGGATTGTCCATACAAGCTGCCCTGCTTCTTGCACGTTTCCAACGGCGCACTCTCAGAGATGAAGCGGGGCAGTGTTTGAGTTCTGAAGATGCATGAGTCACGAGTTACAATTCAGCCAGTTCTACAAGTACTTATTGTGATGTTGGAGCCAGCCCTCTGAGTGCCCTTCTCCCCGCACGTTAGAGGGCAGCTCTGTGGAAAGGCCTTGCTTCTCCAGGATATAATTCAGAGCTCTTTTCTAAAAGTGGCCAAAGAGACAACACTGAGAAAGTCCCCAGCTCCATCTTTCCAGCCCCTGGCCCTGCCCAATCCTTCCTTCCAGCTCTGTCTGTAAGGTTTGCTCCTGAGGCCCACACCCCACTTCCCAGTCCCCTCTGTGGAATGTCGCACAGGGGCCTGCTCACTCTTCATTTCGTGAACATGGTCCCTCACATGACGATGCCGTTGGCATGCATCTTTTATTCCCCTGGTCACACTGCTTAGCCATCTCCCTCTCTCCTCTACATACTCTGGAAACACTGGGAACAGTGCCTGTAGATGGTAGATTTTCAGTAAATGTCTGAAGCTAAGACCGTGGGGCCTGGAGGCCCAGGAGTGGAAGGGTGGGAAGTGATGAGGGGTGCTTTCTCATGCATCAAGTAAGCTGTGTATACTTCCCTTCCAGCTGGAGAGCGGGGGCAACATGGCCCACCTGAAAGATCTTACCACACAAGCCATGAGGTTTGGGCTACTCTTTAGGCAGGTACTGAAAACTCGACCCAGCCAAGGGTAAGGGACACCCCTTCTATGCTGAGCGAAGGGTCTCCATGGGACTACCCGTGACCACTCTGACCTCCGGTAGTGGAGCCATCACACTCCTAAGAGATTCAGTTCATAAAACAGAGGACTGGAACAGACCAGTCAGCGATGTGATATGTGTGATCCAAATTTTCCCACTAGGGTGACCGATGGTCCCACTTTTCCCAGGGTGGAAGAGGTTTCCTGGGAGTTGCGTTTTCTTCCTAAAAGCAAGAAGCATCTGGGGAAACCATGAGCTAATCATCCCCCCACTAGCCCCCAAACACACACACAAGGACAGACAAGTATGAAAGGCTCAGCAAGTCTCCAGCCTAGGTAGTCAGACCTGCCTCATTCTGGTAGCTGGGTGAGTGGATCTCAGTCAAACCATGCTTGGCCAAGAAGCTCCAATGTGAGGCATTACAGTGCTCAGTCACAGGACAGGGCCTGGGGTTGGCAACTGTGCTCTGTCTTAGGCTTGTTACAATAGACATGTTTATATTTTAATGCCACGTAAAGGTAATTAGCAGAAAGAAATAATGAGCAGAAAGAACTCATGTTTCAGGGACTTGGGACCTACGTCTAGCTGATCCAGTATCTGGTTGCAGCGACCCACCAAAGTGGATTTTTGTGGCACGTCTCATAGGTCCATCACGCTGGAACAAAACCCACTGCCGCACATGGGTCGTTTAAGACCATACCTAACTCATTATTTCTCCCCAGTAAATGTTGGAAGAAGTTAGTAGCTGTGTCTGAGCAGAGACAGTTTGAGTGAGTCGCTCGAGTTTGGCGGCATCCTGTCGCCTTTGTTTACTGACGGCATCTCCCTCTCATTCAGCCGCTTCTCTTTCCCAACGTAGGAATACACCACTTACTCGGAAAGGATTTCTATATATGGATACTTCTTTGAGATAAAGGGAATCAAACATGATACTACCTCTTACAGTTTTTCTATGCAGGTAAGAAGCCAGAGCACCGGAAAGGCCCGCCTCTGAAGCAGCCACTCAGGGGCAGCCGATGCATATGGGATTAAAGGGAATCGAGGAATCATTAGTTGACACAGACCGTGTCTTAAAGCTCCGTTCACTCTCCTGTATGCGATGCCATGAGATTTTCACAGCCAGCTAGGGAGGTCGGTACCCATGGTGGACGAGGCTGTCCACTCTGAGTGACTTCCCTTTCATGCTGGCATGTGGCTTCTTGACAAAGTCAGGGTTCAACTTGTCTGTCCTGGGAGTCAAATCACCCTCAGCCTGTACATAATGGCTGATGTTTTATCCACGGTCATTCTCTGAAGAAGCGACAGGTAGTGCCTACACGTGAGAGAGGAGATGAGTCTGTCTAGAGTGACACGGGACAGTGTATGGGACATCTGGGGGAATCAGGCTCAGTGTTCTCCTGGAGCCCTCAGGAGAGGTTGCAGAAGAGCATTTAAGGGCAGGGCGAGTTGCATCTATTATAAGTCCCATGAACCTCCTGCCTTTAAGACGAAGACAAGAGGACCAACCTCGGAATAGTAAAGGTGTTAATCAAGCAACGGGCTTGCAACAGGTTTGCCCTAGAAAGTATTGTGTATATTTTATTTCAGTTTTGTTTTATCTGAAATGTGGTAGTTAGGGACGGAACTCAGGGCCCTGTGTATTCTAACCGTACGCTGTACCGTGGAGTACGCTCCCAGCCCAGTGCCAAACATATTTAGAAGTGAGGGGAGTAACAATAATGGGGACATGGTGAAGGACTGCTGTACTCCATTTAGGATCCACTTACAAATCTCTTTTATAAATCCCAAACTCCCTGAGAAACCATCTCTCACGTGACCCTTTGTTTCTGCTGTCAGTCACCATGCCTAGAGCCTAGAGGAGCTTTAAATGATTGAATCAGAGGGTGGATAAATGAATGAATGAATGAGTAAATGATGAAATCTGACTTTTAGTACCAGTGTGGTCACCACCTCCCAATGCGTCCCCACAGCGAGTCCCTTCTCTTCCTGGGTCCTCCATTCTTAGTCACCAGGCCCTCAGGCGTCTTTCTGACTGAACGGAAGAGATGAATTATGGAACACTACCGTTGACCCTTCTGTATACACTGTTGGGGCTTTATCCCAGCAGAACAATAAGGAAGCCTGATTTCGATGGCCAAGCCCTCGTCCACTGAAAGTGGTTTGCATATGGAGAGGTCTCAGATGTCACGGGGTTCCAGCTTGATTTCCTCAGGAAATTATGCCGTTTGGAGAATGGCCTCATGCTATCTGTATAGAATGAAACAGGAAGGTTGTGTGCCAGGAACTGTTTGCTAGCTCTGGTCGCCTTGGCCACAGGGTTACGTAGGACAGACGGCTCTCTTTGCAGAGAATAAGACACACGGACTTGGAGTGCCCCTCCCCCCTCTGCGAGCACAGCGCCATCAGCCTGAGAGCTGAGCGCCTGGTGAAGTATGAGATCAGAGCCCAGACGTTGGTGGACGGGAAGTGGCAGGAGTTCAGGACAAACCAGATCACGCAGAAGTTTGGGTTCATCAAGCCAGGCTGCAAAAGCCATGTGAGCATCCCCCTTGTCTGATTTTCCTCTTTCTCTTCTGTTTTTAGCTCCTTCCCTCCCTCACCCCGTTTTGGGCATTCCTATCTTCGAGTTACCAGTCATCTATCAGAGGATTGTTTCCAGTTTCTTAAGGATGAGCACGCTCTAAATGATACCAATGAAAAACCTCCTAAAACAAATACCAGTAGTTGTGGATGACTAACAAATCAAAACCAAGGGCACAGCAGACCCATCTTGTAGATGTCAATAGGTATTTACATATAGACGTAAGGTGTCACAGCTCATCAGTTCCTCTGAGATCCTTCCCAGACTATCTGCCTCCCATTGGCTAACCCAGGAGGCCAGACCCCCCCCCCCCGCCCCGTCAACCCCAGGGCGGTACCAACATCTAGGCAGACTTAGTACCTGCTTGGCATTTGGCGGCTACAGTCCCCAAATAGCCAGAGGTCAGACACAACAAGGGACTCTTTGGGCTGTGGGTTTTTTTTTTTTTTTTTTTTTTTTGAGGTTGGGGCTCTTACTGGTACCCTATTGGGAATGGTGCTGTGCCACAAACCAGGGTCATTCTGGGTTCAGGCCTTGGGGAAGCGTTAGAATCACCTGGGGCTTTGAGCTGCCCCTGTTGGTGATCAGGAGACCACACAGGTGATGGTGAGAACAAAGGCTGCCCAGGTGGGCCCTAGGTTTAACGCTTCTGAAGGCTTCCCAAGGTGTTTCCTGGGGTGAGGTGGGGCGGGGCGGGGATGGGAGGAGGGGAAACTGGAATCAGGTGACAGCACAGGTGTGGCCTTGGGACAGCTCCCAAAGATTTATACTTTACTGTATCTAGATTATGTCTAAAATGTTGTTTGTTTATACTCTCCGTGGGCTGCTCCGCGGTAGCCAGGGTTGGGAACCAGGACCTTCTGCGGCTGTCTTTGGCGCAGCAGCCTCATCCTGAAAGTCTCCCTTGTTCTGTTTCGTTTCTTCTCCCAGGCCTTGAAAATCCAAACCGTGGGCATCCCAATCTAAGCCAGTTTTGCATTCATTTTCCCAGCATCTTGACAGTTTCCAGAGGAATCTGTGGGATCCCCCGCCCTGACCGACCTGTCTACATAAGAGAAAATAAAATGACAGTAACGAGGGGAGCCCAGGGTTCCACTGTCTGTGCCTGTGAGCTCCACCGGGTCTCTGCTCAGGCTCTCCCGGAATAGGTTAGCGGTAATCTGTTTGTCTTTTCATCCAAAGATATGACTGGGGAAAACTCATGTCCAAGTTTGCTCAGGCTGTCGACAGGCTAACCTTGCAGCTGCATGGCTAAGAGCCTCAGCTACTAAGGGGCTCACGCAGTGTCCTGCAGTCCTGCGACACTTCCATCCATCCCCTCTGGATTAGAAGTTAAACCCTTCCCTAAGAGAGAGGGGTTATACAAAGGGTCACCTTCGGGTGTGTCCACCTCTCTGGGTAGGTATTATCTTTGAGAGTATCAAGAGCTGAGGGTGTTCTGAAACAATGAGGGGGCATACATTCCGTCTGCTGGCTGCCGAGGGATGACACACAGTTGAGGGAGTTTTCTCCCCAACAGAGAATCTCGGGAGGTGGAAACGTGGAAGGTAGACCTGGGGGAAGAGTCAGAGCTAAAGAAATGGACTTTGGAAGCCTGTTTCCAGGTCTGTCTGCTCCCTCCTGTGTCCCACACTTCCACACTGTGGTTCCATTCAGGTCCAGTCAATGGGAAGTAGTAATGGGAGCTGGGGAGACAAGAGAGGAGAGATACTGGGGTAGCCATCACCTCCGGGCCACTGAGACACTCAGGCACAGAGTCTATGGGGTATCATAGCATCAGAAATGCCCAGTACCCTGGACAAATGATATCCTAATGCAATGTTTTAAAAACTCAAAACCAATGGAAAAAGAAATCACTATAGCCGAGATGGATGGACCATCGTGAGGTGCACACTTCTATGGCCAGTGCTCATATCAAAACATAGTGGAGCCGGGCAGTAGTGATGCCACCTGTAATCCCAGCACTCAGGAGGCAGAGGCAAGCAGATCTCTGTGAGTTCAAGACCAACCTGGTCTACAAAGCAAGTTCCAGAGCAGACGGTGCTGTTACACAGAGGGAACTCTGTCTTAAAAAAATAAAAAATAAAATACTAAAATAAAAACAAACAAAAACAACATAATGGTCAGGTCTTGGATGCCCCAGCCAGCCTCTCCTAGGCTCCCTCACCCCAACAAACACTACCCAGACTTCCGACACCACCAACTAATTTTACCACAGAGTCCAATTGGCTATTTTACAAACAGAAACACCCCTCGCCCATCGTCCTAGCTACTTTTCTTGCTGCTCTGACCCAGTACCTAACAAGGAACAAGTGAAGTAAGAAGGGTCTTGTTCGGGCTCACAATTCAGAGGTGCTGTCCTTTCATGCAGGCGAGTCAGGCCATCCGGAGCTGGAGGCAGCTGGTGATGTCACCTCTGCAGTCAGGAAACAGATGAATGCTGATGTTCAGTCTCCTCCTCTCTCTTCAGTCTGGGCCCCCAGCCCACGGATGAGAACACCCACATTTAGGGTGGATCTTCCCACCTCAGGTGACCAAATCTAGAAAAGCATTGAAGACACGCAGAAGTCTGTCTCATAGGTGATTCTCGATCCTGTCAGGTTGACAACCCATAGTCACAGGTACCCATAACAGTCACATACCTTCGTCCAGCTGCACGCGAGAGCTTTGACCCCAGTTGCCTGGAGGTGCAGTTTTACCAGACAAGCATGGTTGTTTCGCTCCTTAGAAAACCAGTGTTGCTTAGTAACAGGTTGCTGCTGAACAATGAGAGACAAAACACAGACCAGAGGTGACCACCATCACTGAGAAGCTTGGCAGGGAGACCCTCTGGTGTGGTTTTGGGGTCTCGTTGAAGATTTTGGGATTTTTTGATTTTTCACTCACAAATGGGTTATGCATGCGTGGTGCAGGAGATCTGTGGGTGTTGCTAGAAAGGACTGAAGTCTAGAAGCTTCTATTCCTCCTTAAGGATCCTCACTGTAACACACACACACACACACACACACACACACACACACACATATTTGTCTTTCTTCCCAGTGTTCCCCTCCCCCACAAAACAACAGGTTTAGGAATCTGTCTCACCACCCTGGGTGAAAAGAAGAAAAACATCATCCTCTAATACACTATTCATACAATCTCCATGAGAAAGTCCCCCCACGGAAGAACCATTGCCTCTAATGCTAAGATCTGCTCCTGTCCACCAGAGGGCACAGTTGACCTCGAACTTGGGAGTCAGAATTCCAGTGGCTGAAACTGGCAACCATTGTCCTCGTTAGCATTAACTGTTAACTTGACCCTGTCTAGAATCATCTGAGAAGGGAGTCTCAGCGGAGTGCCCAGATCAGACCTGCGCACATGTCCGTAGGGTATTGTCTTCTTGTTAGTTGATGTAGAAAGGTCCAGCCCGCTGTGAGCAGTACCACCCCCTGGGCAGACAGTCAGTCAATGCTGGGTTGTGGTAGAAAGTTAGCGAAGCATGAGTTTGTCAATGAGCCGGCAGGCAGCATTCTTTCTACAGGCTTGGTTTCAAGGTCTCCCTTGAGTTCCTGCCCACAATGATGTACCTGGCAGGGTAAGTCAAAGACATATTTTCCTCTGCAAAGTTGCTTTGAGTACTAGCATCAGAACTGAAACTAGAACATGCACCTTGCAGCACTGGGTCCTCCTTGCTTAATGGTTGAAAATGAAACTAACACATCTGGGGTGAGAGGCAAGGAGTCCAACCATACAGCCTCTGAACTTGGGAAGTACAAGTCTTGAGACAAAAAAAAAAAAAATTCTCAGGAGGTTCCCACCAGCTCTTATGAGTGGAAGCTTCATAGACTCTGATTTAACGACCCAGGGTTACAATGCCCAAAGCAGTGGGTGTGGGCACTGGGCAGTGTTGCGTCCTATGACTCTCTGCTTGCTTCTCTCATCGTTCATTTCCCAGGCCCTAGAGAAGGAAAGATTTGTCCTCGCAAGTTAGCTTCAGATCCGCTTGGTGCATAGCAACTTTCAGGTTCCAGATGACCTAGATTTTGGCTCCCAACTCAGCCTCCTCCTAGCTGCGGGCCTCTTAACTGGGCAAGTCAGCCAAACTCTCGGCCTCAGAATCCAATCCGACGCTGGTGACTTTGTCAAGCACCTAAACCCATCGCAAACACCTGATAAACTTTATTCCTGTTGCTCACTTGCTGCTTGGAGTGATTTGGAACTTGTTGGAGGTTGAGACGGAGGCCATGTAGGCTTGGATGCGTCCTCCGTGGGGCCTGATGCAGAATGATGCGGTTGGACCTGTGGCTCCCTTGGGTCTTTCAGGCTGCAGTCACTGGTGGTGACTGCTGAGAGTAGGGGACAAACTGAGCCTGTGAGGCAGGCGTGGTGGTACTTGGGAAGTAAGCACTGGCTCACCTTACCATGGGCTTGACAGAATAAGATGATGTTGAGGGTTGGAAAGACGGCTCAGTGGGTCAAGCGCTTGCCACTCAAGAAGGAGACTTGCATTTGACTCCTCAGAACCCACATAAAAAGCCAGATGTGGTGGTGGACACGCCACCACGGATGAGGAGGCCAAGGCGGGAAATTCTGAAGCTAACTGACCCTGTCTCAAGAAAAAGAGAAAAAAGGTAGAATTGAATATGGCACATGCCTTAATCCCAGAACTTGGGAGGCAGAATAGGCAGATCTCTGTGAGTTCAAACTGAGGTCATCCTGTTCTACATGGTAAATTCCAAAGCTATCATATTGAGACCTTGTCTAAATGTCTAAATAAATAAACAAACTAATGAATGAATATAAATAAACAAAGGTAGAGAGCACGCGTACGCGGGGGGGGGGGGAGAAGAAGGAAGAGAGAGGAGGAAGAGGAGAAGAGAGCAGCATAGAAAGGGTAAGAAAGGCCTTTCCATGGTTCCTTGTATATTTATATTTCTTTTAGATCCACCTACCTCTGCCTCCTGAGTGCTAGGTGCTAAGATTAAAGGCACACACCACCACTCCAGGCTTGCTTACCTCCTTTCTGAAATAGCATCTTATTATGTAGCCCAGGCTGACCTGGAGCTCACAATCGTCCTGCCTCAGGATTACAGGCATGGCCCACCACACCTAAGTCTCTCTCCTCTTTTCAAAGGTTTTGTGTCCTACAGACCATTATGTCTTGCAGTACCAGAGGAGAGAAGAAGCCCTTGTAAACCTAGGACGGGCAGGGAGGCAGAGGGCTTGCTAGCTCTCAGACAGTGGGTAGACCGCTCAGGGCAGTAAGGAGGGCCAGACTGGCCCCTCTTCTCCTGCAGGATGGATGTAGGGTGTGAGATTTTGATGCATGGACCCAAGTCCTTGCCAGTTGACAGTGGAGGAGCTTCTTCCAAGGAAAAAGAACACCCCCACCCCGCCCCCAGGAAGCCCCAAAGAAGGGCTAGCCTACAGAGCTGCTTATGCGCACAAAAATGCCACCTGCTTGTCCAGCCCCCCTCCCCAATGTGGTAGCCACAAGCTAAGTGCAGCAGCTGAGTGTCTGAAGCATGATTACTGCAACAACAAAGCTGGGTTTGGACTTCTCTGCCATCGTACTGATGTAAGTTTAAATAGCCATTGGTGGAAGTCAATGAAGTGTGCTCAGCCCGAAAAGTGAACCAGCGCTCCTTGAGCTCCAGGGCTCAAGACCCTCTGCCTTCCTGTACAAACGGCACCAGTCATGTCTCTGGCTCACTTTGGACCACCCCAAAACCTCGGCTGAACTACTGTGAGGGAAGACACCTCCCAGGAGCCAGGAGGAACCATACCCCAGGCCAGGGAAGCAGAGCTCTGTCTGTATTAAAATATCAGTACCTTGCTCCTTCTATTTGTGTGTACTTGTATTTTAAATACACCAAGATAAAACAGACTAGAATGTTGCCTGGGAGTCATATCCAGTAACCGGTCACACGCAGCTAATGGCTGCCACGTGGACAGGTCAGGAGCAGGAGACCAAGCAACATTGATGCTCCTCATGATTCTGACTCATGTGACCTTTGTAACTCCTGATCCTTGACTCCACAGATAGATGAGCTGCAGCCAGGTCAAGAGTTAGTGTTGCAAAGGTGAGCAAAAGACACAGACAGGCTTTGCCATTATGAGCCCCAATGTCTGGAAAGGACAGTTGTGAAGGTTGTGAAGGTGCTGAGGAGGGCTGGGTGCACTGACGGAGGAGGGGCAGCTCTTTGCAACTATAAAGCAAATAAAAAGGCCTAGACCCTGTGGGAAGCAGGCAATTCCTAAAGGAGGATCTTCCCCAGGGAGAGGGTGCTTAATCCAAGCTCATAAGTAGGAGTGAGAAGCAAAATAAGCTAACGGGGAGATGTGGGGAACTTGAATCCATATGCACTGCCGACGGAAATATACAAAGTGAAATATGAAATGTAAGCTATGGTTCCTCCTAGAATGATCTAGGTACACACCCATGAGAAACTAAAGCACATGTCCACACAGAAGCTTGCACATGAATGCTCGTGGCAATAATATTTGTAAGCTCTCAAAGATGGAAAAGCCTAAATATCCTTCTATAAGTGAATGGAAAGATGAAATGTGGGCAAGTCATATACTGAAGTATTATTCAGATTGGGGGCATAGCATGGTAGAGCATGTGCTTAGCATGTTCCGGGCTCTCTCTGGCTTCATCCCTGGCAAAAATAAAGTAATGGAAGACCTGTGCCTAGTACATGGATGAACCCTGAAAACAGCATACAGAGTAAAAGAAGCAGTCATCAAAACCACATTTTGTGTGATTTTGTTCATTTCTATGTGTAGAGTTTGGGCATGGTGGGTCACACCTGTAATCCCAGTTCTTGAGAGGTAGGGACAAGGAGATAGGGAGTTCAGGACCAGCCTTAGCAATATAACAAGTTTTGAGACCAGCTTGAGCTATGTAAAACCCTATCTCAAAAATACACCAACAAGCAAAAGGAAAGTGTTCAGAGGCAGGACCTCCCTAGACAGAAGGGCTGAGGCCAGGAGGGAAGGGAGACTTAGAGACAAGAGTCAAAGGAGACAAGTTTCTGTTTGAAGTGAGGAAAGAATGCTCCAATGAGCATAATGACAGTTGCTCAGCTCTGTGAGTGTGCTCACCACCACTGACCTGTGCACTTGGAGGGGTAAGTCCTGGGATGTACAAATCCCACAACACAGAGCTGATGGGAGAGCAAAGAGGAGGAAGGGGGGAGCTCAGCAGATTCTGGTCCAGATGGCAGCACATGCAGGGAAGCCTGGGACCTTCAAAACACACATTCTTCCTGGGCGGCCAGGGCTATCAGAGCCAGCAGCAGGATGGGTGATAAGACTTTGAGGATCCTGGAGGATGGTGGAGATACGGATGGTGGGACTTTGGGGTTCCTGGAGGATGGTGGAGATATGGGTGGTGGGACTTTGGGGATCCTGGAGGATGGTGGAGATACGGATGGTGGGACTTTGGAGTTCCTGGAGGATGGTGGAGATATGGATGGTGGGACTTTGGGGTTCCTGGAGGATGGTGGAGATATGGATGGTGGGACTTTGGGGATCCTGGAGGATGGTGGAGATATGGATGGTGGGACTTTGGGGTTCCTGGAGGATGGTGGAGATATGGATGGTGGGACTTTGGGGATCCTGGAGGATGGTGGAGATATGGATGGTGGGACTTTGGGGTTCCTGGAGGATGGTGGAGATATGGATGGTGGGACTTTGGGGATCCTGGAGGATGGTGGAGATATGGATGGTGGGACTTTGGGGTTCCTGGAGGATGGTGGAGATATGGATGGTGGGACTTTGGGGATCCTGGAGGATGGTGGAGATATGGATGGTGGGACTTTGGGGTTCCTGGAGGATGGTGGAGATATGGATGGTGGGACTTTGGGGATCCTGGAGGATGGTGGAGATATGGATGGTGGGACTTTGGGGTTCCTGGAGGATGGTGGAGATATGGATGGTGGGACTTTGGGGATCCTGGAGGATGGTGGAGATATGGATGGTGGGACTTTGGGGAACCTGAAGGATGGTAGAGATGTGGATGGTGAGACTTTGGGGATCCTGGAGGGCAGTTACCTGTATTAAATTTTGATTTCTCTTCTAAGTGTATGCCTACCCTGATGACATGTGTACTCTCCACTCATGTGTTGCTGCAGTGCAGTGTCTCTCTGGATGGCCATTCAGCACAAGCCATGGAGTGGTCTTGGAGGGTGTGGAGGGGTCATAAAGGTCAAGCGGCATCAGGGATTGTTTATTTCAACCCTAGCAGAGGGGAAGAGCTTGGGCAGGAATGATGTCTCTGGGGCTCAGGACTTGCTCTATCCAAAGCTGGGGAGGATCCCTTTACTTTTCTCAATAACCCTTTAGCTGGCTTTGGTCACAGCCATGGTCACCGTGGCCACTCAGGGGACAGACCTTCACCCCCCCCCCCCATCATATTGTGCAGACTGTTCCAGAAGTGACTTACCAGCTCATACAAAGTTCAATATCCTGGAAAGAGAGGCTGACTGCTTTTCTTGGGCCGATGTATATGTTAGAAAAGGGATCAGGGCCTGGGGCTCGGTGGCAGAGTACTTGTCTAGTATGCATGAAGCCCTAGGTTCCATCTCCAGAACCATTTCTACTCATACCATCATGAATGCCTGTATCCCAGCACTGAGAGGGAGGTTAGAGATAAGAGGGTCAGAAATTCAAAGTCATCCATGGCTACATAGTGAGTTTGAGGCCAGTCTGGGATAAATGAGACCCTGTTTGAAAAAGAAAAGGGGGGGGTGTGAGAAAAAGGCTTAGGACTTAGGGTGTTCATTCCCGGGGCAGAGTACAGTGATAATGGCCTCAGTGAATCACACAGCCTTGGATCTACACCCTGATTCCGTGGCTCCACCCGTCGATGGAGAGATTCCATTTCTACACCCTCTTGAGTCTGGCCTGCACCCGAGGCTCGACTTGGCCAGCAGAATGTAGCAGAAGTATCAGCACATGAATCAGAGAATTGAGGGTCCAGGAGCCATGCATCCCCTGTCCATGTCCCCTGGCAACCCTGTGTTCTCGAAGTGCCTGCTGGACACGTGAGAGCCATGTAAAGGAGAACCGCATGCTTCAACCCAACCTCCAGCACAGACTGTCTGGTAGAGTCTTCCAGTCCGGCACCCTCCAGTGGGATGCAGTCGGATGCAGATGCCAGGGGAACCCTGCGAAGGATCTCTCAGATTAACTGGTCAGAGTCATAAACAAACCATTGGTTCTAGTCCCTAAACTTTGGGGAGTGGTTTTACTATGTATGCCCTGCAGAAGTTAATGGCAACACACTCTTTTCATTAAGTAAATCCGCTTTCAGAATGTATATGGGGGTCGAGCATTGTGGCACATTGCCATTTAACCCAGCACTTGGAAGGCAGAGGCAGGCAGATCGCTGTGAATTCGAGGACAGCCTGGTCTACCAAGTGAATTCTAGGACAGTCAGGGCTACACAGAGAAACCCTGGCACAAACAAATAAATAATTAACTATTAAATAAATAAATAAAATGAGTTATGGCTGGGCACAGTGGCACACACCTTTAACCCCGGGACTTGGGAGGCAGAGGTAGGTGATTTTCTATGAGTTCAAGGTCACCCTTGGTCTACAGAGTGAGTTATAGTATACAGCCAGGACTGCACAGTGAGACCCCGTCTAAAGGACAAAAAAAAAAAAAAAAAAAAAAAGCACCATGATACTACCTTTGGAATTTATTAATCGGACAGCTTTTAAAATGTGTAAATGTGGGCTGGAGAGATGGCTCAGAGGTTAAAAGCACTGGCTATGCT